ACGTTCGAGTCTCTCACAGGGATGAGTAGCAAGAGATTCGTGTTCGAAAAAGACTTAGGTATGAGGTACATGGGCTGGGCTTTTATACTACGAGATTACATGTACCGAATAGAAGAGATAGAGACAGAAAATAGAAGAATACGAGAAGAGACAAAATGAATGCGAAGAGGATTAACTCGAAGGCTCCGAAGGAGCCGTATAGCTTAGAGTCCGAATATAGTAGCGAGTAGCCGAATAAGGAATCTACTGGCCGAATACGGTAGCGAGCGCGGGTGCGTATCCTTACATCCGCCCTCCAAGGACTACTCATAGTCCTTCTCTAAGCCCATCGCGCGAGTTACATGGTCTTTGGGTCCTCCCAATCGACCTCGGGACCATCCTCCATGTCAGCGTCTTCATCTGCGTTGTCGTGTCCACGATCAGGTTGGTCATCGACATCGGACGCTGCCTCGTGAGGTTCCTGGTCGTCGTGGCCGTTCTCGTGAGCATTGTTGTATTCACTGTGCATCAGGAAAACCCTCCCGAGCTAATTAGACATAATTTAAACACAATTATGTATGATGCCAAAAATCCATCTAAAGGTCATATAATCCAGAGTGACCAACAGCTAATCTACATGACGCACTTCTGTGAAAGTAAGATACATCTTTTAGCAACTCTGCAACACAGTCCTTTGTCTACATGTTTGTGCAGTTCCCTGCAACTGCGGCGGCCTAGGAAATGGCAAGGGTAAATGCGTAAACTCGCGCGCAAACCCTCGTCGACGGGTACGCGGCGACCCAGGTTTCGATTTTGAGAGCGCGGTGGACGATGCGCGTTTTCGATAGTCGGTCCTCGGGTACGGCGAAACGCGTCCCGTACCCGGACCCGCTGGTACCCTTACCCGCGACCCGCACGCATTGAGGATCCCGTGCCATGCTAGTCTTCGCATTCACTGAGATGCGGTTGCTCTTTGTATCAGCTAAACTGCGCGAGTGGCGGGTGGTTGTCCTGTGTTGAGTAAATCTAGAATGTATATACGTGTCAGATGAATGCACATACCTTGACCCGCACTCTCCAACATATCCAGCATGCCATCCATCTGCGTCCATAGCACTATACTCCAGGTGTCTTAACATCATTTACGGTCAGCATGACATCGTCCACGACGTGCTCGCCGGCGCATTCGGAACCCTGCAACTTGTGCAACGCGAGATTTACCGGAGCCATCACCGATGAGGAACACAAAGCCAGAGAATCAATATCAGAAGTATAAATTGATGAGTCTTCTCCTGCATGATATCAGCTAAGTAGCAGGAGTTTGGAGAGCTTAGAGGCACCTACGGCTGAGCTCTAGAGAGACTTGGACGGGACTCAGCCAAGACTCAGCGTGTTCTCGCCAGAGTCCGGTCATCCGGTTAGCTGTAGCCGGTCACATGACTTTGTTGATACCGCGTTTTGAACTCCGATTTAATCTGCCATGTTCAACATTCGCGCTCCATTCTTTCTCCTTTGCTGGCTCGCCGCCCACCGTCGTCCATGTCCCCGTCATTCCGCTCCCTCGGAAAAGGAGCTTTCGCAGCTCTGTAGTCCTGCGACCGACTCGTGTGCTCACTCGTCAGAGTCGTCTATACTCCCAGGGTTGTACCCATGCAGGGCCCATCGCGGGCGACTTCTCTGGTAGGTTCAACTTATCTTTTGTGCTGCCAAGTCCCCTGATGACAGCTTTCCTTGATGGCCTCGCCCTGACAGGCTGGATCCCCGTCACTCCATTGACAATACCCTCCTTCGGTTCGACCGCCACCGGATCCTAATTGGCTCTGAACACGGCATCCACTTGATAAAGTGCTGACAGGCGTAAGATGATGCGTGCGCTGGTTTACAAAGAATACGGTCAGTTTGTGTCGATTCCTGTGTGTGTTGTGTCGATGTACTGGCTCGGCTGTGGTGCAGGTTGTGGACTACTCCTTCCATGAGAGTATAAGACTGCAAACACCTGGGTATGCGCTAGTGAATGTGATCGGGGGCTGCTTGCGGGTTTGTGAGCAGCTTGTAAGTTAGTCAGATTGGTATGTGCTCAACATTGTTGAGCTGTTGCTGCGGTCTGACTGTGTGCCCCCCTTGCCACTAAGCCTGCTTTGCCGCTATTGTCTGCATATGTCATATCCACCCCCGAGATGCCTGGTGCATATATTTGCGTTGTGCATGATGCCGTGCTTCGCTAAATATCTGCCTTGAGTAAGTGGTTGCTCCTTGCTGTCCATGCATGAGGCTAATGATGCTGTACAGAGACCATATCTCTTCCTTCCCAGGTCTGCATTCAAGGTGGTGTCTCATAGGTGTGTTCTGATGTCTGGATGATCTGCCTTACCAACATTATGTTGATGTCTTCTCATATCTGATCTGATATTGGGAACTTTCCTTAGCCTGCTTTGAGGGGAAAGTGATCTTGTAGGCTGATGAGGGCAGGGAGATTGTAGTTACATGCCTGTTTGTAGCTACATCATGAATATATCTCAATACTCCTTGTGGTACCCCGGGAAATGATATGATGTGATTGCGACATAATTGCCATCTAATATGAGGTGATACAGCATAATGGTCATAATTATGTCTAATTAGCTAGGGGACAAACCTAACTTGTCTAATTAGATAGAATGGCATAATACAGCTAATCCTGCATAATTATGCAGGATTAGACATGATTAGACATAATTAGCTCAGGAGGGTTTCCCTGATGTGGTGGGTGTGTTGACCGCGATACGCGCGGCGATTGCGAGGACGCCGACGAGGCGGGGAATCATCGTGGCGACTACTGCTTGGGCCTGCGACGCGGTCTAACACGCCATATACCAGGTAAGCAAAGACAGATTGCATTAGCACTAGGATCGTACCGAGCAAGGTATCGGAACACTTATTGTTGCGTCCGCTGGATTTTCCGCCACGCCCACGGCCGCGACCCGGATGGTAAGTGCGGGACCGCCGATTGGTGCTGACTAGCTTCTCAATCCAGGTACTCTGGTGCTGGAGAAGATGACCGAAGGCGCCTTCAGACATGGCAACGCCGGGGCTGGTGACAGTTCCCGGCTGTGGAGGGGGCATCATAGCCAGTGCGGTTGACATGGCAGGTGCGTAAGGGGCCGGACGAAAGTTCGGGAAGTCGTCGGGGTGCGGCGCGTATCGCTGCTGGCGGCGACGGAACACCTCGTTGTAGCCTTCCGGGGGCTTCGACCGGGGTGTGGTCCCTCATTGTTGAGCCA